GACGTTGTATTAAGTGTGTATGCTACCTTAGTATGACGTTGTATTAAGTGTATATGCTACCTTAGTATGACGTTGTATTAAGTGTATATGCTACCTTAGTATGACGTTGTATTAAGTGTGTATGCTACCTTAGTATGACGTTGTATTAAGTGTATATGCTACCTTAGTATGACGTTGTATTAAGTGTATATGCTACCTTAGTATGACGTTGTATTAAGTGTGTATGCTACCTTAGTATGACGTTGTATTAAATGTGTATGCTTCCTTAGTATGACATTGTATTAAGTGTATATGCTTCCTTAGTATGATGTTGTATTAAGTGTATATGCTACCTTAGTATGACGTTGTATTAAGTGTATATGCTATCTTAGTATGATGTTGTATTAAGTGTGTATGCTACCTTAGTATGACATTGTATTAAGTGTGTATAATACCTTAGTATGACGTTGTATTAAGTGTATATGCTATCTTAGTATGATGTTGTATTAAGTGTATATGCTACCTTAGTATGACGTTGTATTAAGTGTAAATGCTATCTTAGTATGACTGTATGCTTCCTTAGTATGACGTTTTATTAAGTGTATATGCTATCTTAGTATGACTGTATGCTTCCTTAGTATGACATTGTATTAAGTGTATATGCTACCTTAGTATGACGTTTTATTAAGTGTATATGCTATCTTAGTATGACATTGTATTAAGTGTATATGCTACCTTAGTATGACGTTGTATTAAGTGTATATGCTACCTTAGTATGACGTTGTATTAAGTGTGTATGCTACCTTAGTATGACGTTGTATTAAGTGTGTATGCTACCTTAGTATGACGTTGTATTAAGTGTATATGCTACCTTAGTATGACGTTGTATTAAGTGTATATGCTACCTTAGTATGACGTTGTATTAAGTGTGTATGCTACCTTAGTATGACATTGTATTAAGTGTATATGCTACCTTAGTATGACGTTGTATTAAGTGTGTATGCTACCTTAGTATGACGTTGTATTAAGTGTATATGCTACCTTAGTATGACGTTGTATTAAGTGTATATGCTACCTTAGTATGACATTGTATTAAGTGTATATGCTACTTTAGTATGACGTTGTATTAAGTGTGTATGCTACCTTAGTATGACGTTGTATTAAGTGTGTATGCTACCTTAGTATGACGTTGTATTAAGTGTGTATGCTACCTTAGTATGACGTTGTATTAAGTGTGTATGCTACCTTAGTATGACGTTGTATTAAGTGTATATGCTACCTTAGTATGACGTTGTATTAAGTGTGTATGCTACCTTAGTATGATGTTGTATTAAGTGTATATGCTACCTTAGTATGACGTTGTATTAAATGTGTATGTTACCTTAGTATGACATTGTATTAAGTGTATATGCTACTTTAGTATGACGTTGTATTAAGTGTGTATGCTACCTTAGTATGACGTTGTATTAAGTGTATATGCTACCTTAGTATGACGTTGTATTAAGTGTGTATGCTTCCTTAGTATGACATTGTATTAAGTGTATATGCTACTTTAGTATGACGTTGTATTAAGTGTGTATGCTACCTTAGTATGATGTTGTATTAAGTGTGTATGCTACCTTAGTATGATGTTTTATTAAGTGTGTATGCTACCTGACTGTGGTATTCACCTCCATTCCAAGAGTTTCACACATATGGAACCTGCCAAATATTTTATGAATAAGATTTCTGAGAGCAGACATGTACAATGAAAGAATTTCTTATGGAGGTAACTGAAACCATTAAAGGTAGCATAATTTCAACTTGGGTGTTATTTCACTGTCATGAATAATTAAATTTTGTAATTAAAACTTTAAACAAAGTTTTCTTTGACAGTAATATCATTGTTGGCTTTTCATTTGATATAAAAAATAGTTTTCATTGTTGACTTCAGTTTTACTTTAAGTTATTATACTCAATCTGCATAGTGAGAAAATATTTTATCAAAATTGACTGAGANCTACTAAATTCTAATAGGCCGATCTCACTTAAAATTGGTCTAGGAATGATCAGCTCATGGTCCTGACAAAGTTAAGTTAACATTATACTATTTTTTACTCAAATTGGTACATATTTCAACAAACAAACAAAAATACTGTAGACTCAGGTGACCGTTAAGGCCCATGGGCCTCTTGTTTTAGTATATCCATGTAATCAAAATGGATATTTTTCTGCTAAACATTTTCTTCCTGTTCATATATATGAATAAAGTGAATGTGTATGATGATATGAGATATTATTTCTGATACAAGTAAGGAAAACTTAATTTTCCAGGAAATGTACATGTATGTACAAAGGAAACATAACAAATACACTGAAGTGTCTGTTTCCCACGGTATGTTGTCAGTTTAGATATGTACACATAGAGGAAGGTGTCAACGGGACATATATCACTCCACAGGGGCCATGTAGTATATATGTACCGTAGTAGTATGTTCCAACACTACACCGCCTTTCTCACTTGACATTTTCTAACAAGTTATATGGTACCTGGAAATGATACACTTTATATGTCATACATATGATTGTTTGGTCATTTGAAACAATTACTAAGTTTGGGGTAGACATTTCAGTAAGTTTCCCATGTCAAATTTGATTTACCAAACAAGTGTTTTTTTTGTGAAATTTCGACGCTCTAACGAGTAAAAAAGGAAAAACTTTTGTGATGTCAAGTTTTATATATTTCATAAAATGGATCCTTTTTATCACAAGACAGCCAATCTATGCAGAAATGTGTGAAAAAGCCTGTTCTCACCAACCATCATCAAGTCTTCAACATGGTCTGATCTTGTTGTCAGTAATGTGACCTCAACAAGGTTTAATGCTGATGTCACATAGAGTGATATACATCATATTACATTATTCGCTACATAACATGCCAGATAGATGTTACCTAGCCTATTACTGCTAATTTTTTTTTTTTTGCAATGTTTAAGGTTAAAATTCAGACATGTTTTTATTGGAACATAAGGTTAATAGGGTACTGTGTATGATTAATCTCCGGGAGCTATATTTCATCCTATATCTGACTTGTTATCTGACTTAGCTTGTTACAAGTCAAACGGTTTGATTCTCATGCTAGCTAGATCCGTCATCAGATATGCATGATTCCAACCAAGGCATGCGAGGTGGGTGTTGTAATTCTCAATCAGGTGTAAAATACAATTGTCCTCCAACACGAAGGCAGTGAATAATTGACAAGGTGTAGAATCCTCACCAGGCAAGGGCTTGTCACTGTGTAGTGGAGGCCTTGACTAATAATTACTCTAGTCTTTTAGGTTAGGCTAGAAAAAATCATATGACATTGTGTGTTTCAGGTAACATGCCTGAAAAAAATAGGCTAAGTTGGTAGGTAAATAATTTTATTTTAATGTAAAAAAAAAAAATCATGAATTAATATTATGTTTTATTTCAAATTTTACAATGCATTTCCACACATTACAATTGCTATTAATTTGTCAAGAATAAGGTCGGACTCCCAGAACAGGAAGAAAGTACATTTTAATGAGCGGCTGTGAACTTTGCCCGGCTAATAAATTAATCTTAGATCCAACAAGTAGGTGATAACATTTCTAGGGTTGGCAGGAAAATCTAGGGTAGGTCACCAGAAACACACATATTTATTTTTTGGCCTTAGTCCTCTATAGATATATGTACCTGCACTGCACTGATAGAATCACATTGTGTTTGACTAGATACAAAATCTGTTTATGCAGTAAGCATCTGCTTTAAATTTTATTAAAAATACTGAAAGATCCCACGGTGACACTCGAGCTCGGTTATAAGGTTTTGTATAATATAATATTTTGTATTATATAATGTACACAACTTTCAGGTTTTTTGATGTCCAGTCCATTTACCCATACAAAGTCAGGTTTAATTAACATTTACAGTACAGAACAAATTTCAAACAACTATCGAATTTTCAAACCATGGTAACATTAAGTTCAAAATTCCAGACAATATTCTGATAAATCATTGCAAAGACTCTGTGAACACAACATAAACCCCTCAGTTACTACAGTATATACTTTCGGGCGTACACAACGTAAACCCCTCAGTTACTACAGTATATACTTTCGGGCGTACACAACGTAAACCCCTCAGTTACTACAGTATATACTTTCGGGCGTACACAACATAAACCCCTCAGTTACCGCAGTAACTTTTGTATGTCTATTGCTTTAACTGTCTCATAGTTCAAATAAAGCAGGTAAAATAGGTTGGCTATTTTTATATGATCTTTTTTAAAACTAGAATAAAACATGTTTTTGCATAATGAATAAGAAAGGTAGCATTTCTCCTGAAAATCTGAGACATGCACTCCTGTTTCTATCTTAAGTATCCTTCATGAGTATAGTGCTATCATATTACTTGAGACATGTAACTTCATTGTTTGTGTTTTGTGTACATTATCTAGCAATCGGTACGATTACACACCTCAGACTTTCCTATATCTTACATAATAGACAATATTAGGCTTTCATCCTGTAAATACTGTGTAAAGTGTGTTTAAGAAAGTAAATTTTAAGAGTACGTGAGGAGAAAATACTCGGGTGTAAGGTTGTGGAGGATGTCCAGATTAAAGGGGACATTTCTAAACGTGTTTGTTTCTACAGGTTGAGTTGCGATGGATTTTAAAGTGAATATTGTAATAATTTAGAGCATTCTGATAACTGCTAACATGCACATTACACAATGTACTTCTGTTTTGCAATCAGTTATATCCCTTAATTTAAAAACAAATGATTATGTATTCATTCAGACTTATTTCAGTGCTATATATCAGTTCAATTAATGAATCATATTATGATTCCTTTAAAAGACAGTTTACTGGATATGAAGTTTACAGGATGTGGAACTCTTTTGGGGAAGGAGATTCATAACACGTTTAGGTAGCATGTGTCCTTAAAGTGCAAATTACATTGTGAAGAATCAGGATGTGATGTACTAAAATATATACTTAATTTGTTTATTTTTAGGAGATAGCAGGGTACCATCACATGAAGCCAAACTTTTTCCTTGACAACGCTTCCAGATTTGATGTGAAACAAGGAGAGCTAGGTAGGAATGAATTTTTATGTAACACTAATACATGATATTTCAAGTAAGAATGATGTTCTAGAACAAGTTCTGAGTATGTTTACATTTAGATAGGTAACAAGACATAACTGATAACAAACCAGTTTATATTTGTTCCATATAGGTGACTGTTGGGTAGTGTCCTCCATTGCCTGCTTGTCAAGTCCAGATCATCGTGAACTATTTCGGCGTGTGGTCCCAGCTGATCAGGGATTCCATGAGGGCTGGTATGCCGGGATATTTCGATTTAACTTCTGGTACTTTGGTAAATGGGTGGAGGTGATTGTGGATGACAAACTACCCACCTCTCGAGGACAACTGCTGTTTGTACATTCCAACAACAAGAATGAGTTCTGGTCAGCTCTCTTGGAGAAAGCCTATGCGAAGTAAGTTGATATTGTGAACCGTGCACACATTGTAAGTCTCAGTAAAGATTTTTATCTCCTTCTGATGTATATAATATCTACACCTTGTTGTATCTACTGCAGAGAACTATATTGTACCTACTACCTATAACTATTTTGTTGTATCTACTGCGGAGAGCTATATTGTACCTACTACTTATAGCTATATTGTTGTATTTATATAGGTGACAATACCAGCTACTTATAGCTATATTGTTGCGTCTACTTTATAACATTGTATTATAGTATACATGTATATTGTCTATATATAACTGGCTGTATAAAGGAGTAACAAAATCATACTTGGATGTTAAGATAATGTATACATTAAGACTTTCAAAGTTTTTGTGTTTGTACCTTTTGTGTCATTTTATAACTGCTGTTTGTGTTTAACAATCATTTATTGATTTGTGTTTTAATTATGAATTTATGATAAACATTTATTGATAAGTGCTACTTCAAAAGCACCATATTTAATTATTTTCATGTGCAATCTTGAATTCAATCTTTGACTTGAAACTTGAAAAGTAACAATGACTCCTGCCTTCAGATTAAATGGGTCCTACGAGGCGTTGAAGGCAGGCAATGTGGGGGATGCATTGACTGACTTCACCGGGGGGATCTGTGAGAGCTACATCTTACGAGGGGGAAAGACCAATGTGCCGCCCAACATCGTCAACATCCTGTTCAAGGCCCTGGACCGCCAGAGTCTCATTGGGTGTGGAATCAACGTAAGGCCACTGATGTGGAATGTCGTAAATTGTGTTATGAATTATATAAGAGTCTACTACTAATTAGATAAAATCTGTTGATAGCTATTTCTCATTGATGTTTTATCAGATTTCAGATAACACCTGTTTAATACCAGAGATAACAGCTAGCCTTTAATTAAAACACTCATCCATCAAACTTGATAGGAGATTTATATTGAAGGAAATTAACTTGTAAAGTTTTCATGAGATTAAATGTATCTCCAAAGAAATCTTTACATTTTCCCTTAAAATGACACAGATTTTGAGGGTTAAATCTCTATGTCTTGACGGATGATATATGATTATGTGCTAATTACAGCTGTATTGTCCAAACCTTGTTTTCCAGCCAATAAAAGGTGGGCCTGGTACGGAGAGTATCCTACCCACTGGTCTGTGTGCCGGACATGCCTACAGCATCACAGACCTCAGAGAGGTAGGCTGTAGCTCCTCGACTGTTGCATAATTTGAGTTTTGTTGCAGTGATTCTTATGTACTAAAAACTTTTAAACAAATATTGTCTTTCCATATTCATGCATGTCAAAGTAATGCTTGTAAAATATACAGATTAAAAAACTATAAATATGCACTGACTTAAGTATGAAATTAAACATTGATCCATTTAAGGTTTCATTTGTCAACATAATTTTCCACACTAACATCTGTCAACTTTAATTGTGATGATAGATTTGGGTGGCTCTACTTGAGTCTAGTACACATCGTATTGTTCTATTACAGATACTGCTCATGTCTGAGGATGGAGAAATGCCTATAACACTAGTGAGAGTGCGAAACCCCTGGGGTAGCAGGGTGGAGTGGAATGGAGCCTGGGGAGATACGTAAGTAGTAGATTTGGGCGGGGAACCCCTGGGTAGCAAGGTGGAGTGGAATTGACCCTGGGGAGATATGTAAGTAGTAGATTGGGGTGGGGAACCCCTGGGGTAGCAGGATGGAGTAGAATGGAGCCTGGGGAGATACGTAAGTAGAAGATTGGGATGGGGAACCCCTGGGGTAGCAGGGTGGAGTGGAATGGACCCTGGGGAGATATGTAAGTAGTAGATTGGGGTGGGGAACCCCTGGGGTAGCAGGGGGGAGTGGAATGGAGCCTGGGGAGATACGTAAGTCGAAGATTGGGATGCGGAACCCCTGGGGTAGCAGGGTGGAGTAGAAATGGAGCCTGGGGTGATACGTATGTAGCACATTGGGGTGGGGAAGCCCTGGGGTAGCAGGGTGGAGTGGAAATGGACCCTGGGGAGACATATAGGTAGCAAACAGGGATGGAAAAGCCCTTAGGTAGGACAGTGATAAATTTCGTCAGCAAAGTCAAATGTCTTTTTCTTCATAACTAAAAGGATTGAAATGATAATGATCCAGTAGCTTGCTTAAATGTAATGCAAAGAAAAGGTTGAAAAGAAAGGGCATTAAAATCGTTTGAGTGTCTTCAGGACCCTTTGGTCCCCTTGTTTGGTTTGCTACACTTATCAACACAGCAAAGATGAGATTTGTTGTTTAAAGTTTTTTGTGATTGAATTCTCGTAGGTCTAGAGAATGGAATAGCATTCCAGAACAGGACAGAGAAAAAATGGGGCTAGTGTTTCGGGATGATGGCGAGTTCTGGTAAGTTATTTTGTACAATGTACCTTTCAAAACAGTCATTGCTCTATATCAAGTCAAACTTATCATTCTTACTTGTTTTTTCTTTGTTTTCTGTTGTATCAACAGTCAAGGTTCTGGTTTTAAAACTTGAAATCAATTCCATCTGGCAGTCAAAGCAACAGCCTTACTGTGGAAAATCCTTGGAGCAATGGTTGTTTTCAGCCATTTTTGTCAGTTTTCACAAATGCTTACTTCCAGGATTGTTGTTTGAAATCTTGTGAAAAGCAATTAAGATAAGCACGGATATACATTCTTATAAATCCCTGTCATCATCAGATTTTAGGCTGTTCAAATCGCCTTTTCGCCCATGGTCCATCCATTTGGCATCCATCTTTAAACAATTCTTATTATCACTATTTCTGAAGAAGTACTTTGCAGATAGTTCATGAGTTGCAAAAGTTTTACATTAAGACTGAACAGAAGAACAAGGTGGCGTCCAGGAAGCAAGTTTGTTCAAGTTTATTGTCACAATTTATAAAGAAGAGCTTGACTCAAAAATTCCAAATGTATGTTTCCCTTGTTTCTTAGTTGTGCATGTATACTTTTGAGACTGATCAAAAAATACAAAATGGCTGCCAAGTTATTTTTATTATTATTATACGAAAGTCTATGAGAGATCTTTCTCTGATTCCACATGGTCCTTAATTGTGCAGGTTCACTTTTTTTTGCTATTTCTTATAGAAAGTAATTTACAGTTTTTTCTCAGATTTTATAAGTAGGTTGTTCTTGTCCCCAATATTTTAATTTGAGCTTCAAGCTGCATGATCAGAAGTAAAGTATGGCTGCCAGAAGTTTGAAATCTGTTATTCTATTTTTCCACATAACTACGCTATTAAATAGGACAAATGACAACCTCATTCTGAAAGGACAATGTGAAACACAGCAGTATGAAGTTTTGATCAAAACCTAACAAAAAGTGCATACTGTGTTAGAATAACTATCAATATCTTTAAACATTAATGTAAAAATATATAAACAGTGATGTTGATGATGTACAGTTTTTGTCAAACAGAAAAGTGATACTGTATAATTGATATCTTAATCCATGTTTTAATCCATATCTCAATCCTCACATTCCATTTCTTCATATCTGAGTCGATGTTGTGGTCAACATGTTATGTATAGTAAAGTCTATATCTGAGTCGATGTTATGGTCAACATGTTATGTATAGTAAAGTCTATATCTGAGTCAATGTTGTGGTCAACATGTTATGTATAGTAAAGTCTATATCTGAGTCGATGTTGTGGTCAACATGTTATGTATAGTAAAGTCTATATCTTAGTCCATGTCGTAGTCAAAGTGAGTGTCATCTAAGCTAGCTGCAAGTAACAGGTAGGCATATGGAATATCTTAAAACGTTCCTGTTGTCTGATTGAAGGATGGAGTTTGGAGACTTCAAGCACAACTTTGATAGCCTTGATATCTGTAACCTGACACCAGACTCGCCAATAGAAATGCCTAAACAGTGGCATACGGCAGAGTACCAGGGCTCGTGGCAGCACGGATTCAATGCTGGGGGCAGACCGTCACAACAGGGTATGCCAAATGTCATTTATTTTACATGAATACTATTGGCTAAAGACAAGCCATCAAATGTATTCTGGGAATAATACACTATTAGTGCTGTGATGAAAGAAAACACATATGTATTATGATACTGCTGTGAGTATTGTAATTGTTTTTTTAAGAATAGGAGCGATTTATGAAACTATTGGGTTTATGATCAAACAAATGTCACTTTCGGTCCCAATACTTAAGCCTCCTGGCCTTCTTCGATGGTTAATGCTGGATTCAAGTTAGATAGTCCTGTATTGGGTTTTTGTTTGATTTATGTTGTAGACACCCACTGGACGAATCCCCAGTACAGGGTGACTCTGTCTGACATGGATGAGGATGGCGACAATGTTTGCAGCTTCATCATACAAATGATGCAGAAAGATAGACGGAAAATGAAACAGAAAGGCAAGAAAAACCTCTATATAGGATTTGTCATATATCAGGTTTGTAATTCATATCGAACATGGATCCTTTTTATGCCCCGGCCATAAAATGGGGGGATATAGTGATGCCCATGTCTGTCCCTTCCCGTCCTGTCCTGTCTCGTGATCAAAGTGGTTGTAACATTTTATTGAACATCAGACACTGAATCTAATTCCACATGGTGACGGGGGCATTACAGACATTTTCTAGTTTATCAAAAAGTTTTGTAAATCTCCACTTTAGATATAGATTAAGGTCAGTAGTCTGTTCTATTAAATAGTAGATATAGAAGTTTGTTCCATAAAATAGTAGATATATAAGTATGTTCTATGAAATAGTAGATATAGAAGTATGTTCTATTAAATAGTTGATATTGAAGTCTGTTCTATTAAATAGTAGATGTAAAATCTGTTTTATTAAATAGTAGATAAAGAAGTCTGTTCTATTGATAATAGTAGATAAAGAATTCTGTTCTATTAAATAGTAGATAAATAATTCTGTTCTATTAAATAGTAGATATAGAAGTCTGTTCTATTGAATAGTAGATATATAAGTCTGTTCTATTGAATAGTAGATAAATAGGTCTGTTCTATTAAATAGTAGATATAGAAATCTGTTCTATTGAATAGTAGATAAATAGGTCTGTTCTATTAAATAGTAGATATATAAGTGTTCTATTAAATAGTAGATATATAAGTCTGTTCTATTAAATAGTAGATATAAAAGTCTGTTCTATTAAATAGTAGATATAGAAGTCTATTCTTTTTAATAGTAGATATATAAGCCTGTTTTATTAAATGGTAGATATATAAGTCTGTTTTATTAAATAGTAGATATAAAAGTCTGTTCTATTTAATAGTAGATAAAGAAGTCTGTTCTATGAAATAGTAGATATATAAGTTTGTTCTATTAAATAGTAGATATATAAGTTTGTTCTATTAAATAGTAGATATATAAGTCTGTTCTATTAAATAGTAGATAAAGAAGTCTGTTCTATGAAATAGTAGATATATAAATCTGTTCTATTTAATGGTAGATATATAAGTCTGTTTTATTTAATAGTAGATATAGAAGTCAGTGACCAGGTCCGTGTTACCACGTTCGGTAAGGAAGCTAAAACTAACTCTGAATTGCAGTTCTGATAAATACATTTACTCTCATTTGATTGGGGTTTGATAGTGATGTCATTGTTATGGTTGATTTTGAAATTCTTTGAAATAGATTTAAACAAATAAAAAATGTCATGTCGAGGATCCAGCCAGTCATTCACAGTAGATAATCTGACCACTGGCATTCCCAGTAGTTAATCTGACCACTGGCATTCACAGTAAATAATGCAATCACAATCATTCCTAGCAGATAATCCAGCCACCATCATTCAGAGTAGATGGTCAAGCTACTGTTGTTTCGAGGGGTTAATCCACTCACTATTCACAGGAAAAAGGGCTCGGTTTTTAGTCAGCTGGAATATTGTGACCATTTTATGATTGAAAGAGACCAATCTCTCACCAAAAACACAGATACAATATAAAGTAGGACAGTTAAATTATTGACTTCAATGATGGCTGGATTAACCATGCTCAACAGTACACTTGTCACATGAGATAGAACCACTCATAAGTCATAAAACAAGTAGGTAGTGCCACTCATAAGTCACTGAAAACCGATCAAATTGTTAGTTGTCGAAATTTGATAGACAGGATGTTTCCATACATTCTGACATGTTTATCAATCTGTATTCAAGCTCCACAAAGAAGAAGAAATGCCAATACCAAAGGAGTTCTTTGAGACCAACCGCCAAGTAGAATCAAGTGGCCATTTTATAGACAGTCGACAAATAATAACTCGTATGACGATGAGTCCTGGTGAATATGTAGTTGTGCCATGTACCTACGACCCCAACGAACTTGGTAGCTTTTTCCTCAGGTTTTTCTTCGAAAACAAGAATGCAGTTGCGTAAGTTTCCATTTGTAATCTGTGATTGACATTGAATATCTGAACAAACCTCCAGATAACATCTTTCAGTTGTGTTTAAAATATTTTTCAGTTACCAAGTATATTGTAGCACAAGAAAAAATTATCCAAAAAGATTATTGATGCAGATACTGTTTTACAATTTAGAATAATGTTAGACCAACAATGGAAAAATAACAGTTTTGGTACATAAAACAAAAAAAGTTTATATTAGGCCATTACACTGGAGAATTGATGCTTTCGCACTTTGTTGATATGGACATAAAATGCTACTAGCCTGTGTCAATTATTGATCCTGATAAATCCTAATGACATCATTATAGATGCATGTTGTGTATTATATAGTTGTTGCTGCGTGCTGGGTATTTAAATTTACTTAGTATGTTAATTATGAAACAGTGAAAATTAAATGCCTATTTAATAGTAACCTATACATTGTGAATGATATTGCTATATATGGCAACAATCAGATGGTGTTCTGTATTATTCCAACAAAATCTACATAATATGATCTTGACCACAAACTTTTTGCTGAGCTATATACATATGCAACAGTTGGTTGAGCTGTAGTGTTGTTAAAAGAAATTTTGGTTCAAAATTTTATCTGTATAATTATGTGCAGGCAAGGATTAAAGATCATATACTAATGTATACACTCTGATTAAATGTAAGTGTGTTTTGTTAGAAGTGTTTAAATTGATTTAAAGTCTGCAGTGAATACTTATGTAATTAAATTTCTTATGACATTTACAGGAATATAGATGCCACGTCTGAGAGGGTCCCTGTTACTCTGCCTCCCACACCCCCTGACAATGAAAAGGAAGAGAAATTCAAGAGATTCTTCTACTCTGTGTCAGGGGAGGTAAGTCTACATTTCATCACTCAAAAATACCTCTGTGAAGGATACCGACTTATTTATACTTACCTGGTACAAAAGATATAATATTTTATTTCTTTAAAAAGAATTGTCAGTAGATCAACGGTCAAACTTTGTTTATAAACACAGATCTTCTTTTTCAGTGCCTAATTTGAGGTCAGTGTTTGGTCAACAGCCTGAATACTACATAGATTTGCCATAGTTGCAGCTCCTCAGTGAAACAAACTTATGGTTTTACTTATGTGATATAAATCTTAACCATAGTAAACAGGGTTTTTTTCTGATTTTACAGAACATGGAAATTGATCCTTTTGAATTAAGAAGTATTGTGAATGATGCCCTCAGGAAAGGTAAGCCAGTCACAAGTACAGAGATTTTGTATCACAAGTACAGGGGGTTTTGTATCCCAAGTACAGGGGTTTGGCATCACAAGTACAGAGGGTTTGTATCACAAGTACCACAAGTACAGAGGTTTGATATCACAAGTACAGGGGGTTTGTATCACAAGTACCACAAGTACAGGGGGTTTTGTATCCCAAGTACAGGGGTTTGGCACCAATTAATTACTTCTATCAGCACTGGTGTGCTTCCGCCTGAAAAATTGAACAAGTGTTTTCTCCGGGAATTCCAGTTTCCTCTCATATAAAGACTTCTGCATGCTTCCATAGGGACCAACAGGAGCTATCAATATGAGTTTATTAAACAGTTTTATTTCTGTTTTCATGATTGTTGTAAAATAAAGTTAAAATTTTGAATTTTAAGATGAGTGCTCTATTACAGTATAAACAGTAATTCGTGTGTTGTTATTGAGGTATATTGAGTATCAGTTTTATAATTTCCACACACATATCTATTTCAGAACCTTTACACAGAGACCTGTCAGTGGACGCCTGTAAATCCTTCGTGCTGCTGTTAGACGTATCCTTCACTTGGTCACTTTTGTTTGATGTGAAATAGATATTGCGAAAATAAGGAACCTTGTGTTACACAAGTATTGATAGTGAACTGCTATAAGTGAAACATCTTTGTATTTCATAGTTTCATATATACATGTATCCTTAACGAGACATCCCATACTCTCTAGATTTGCAAAAGAAAACAGTTAATGATGAATGTTTACCTTTGTCCTGTGTTGAAGGCGCAACACATTGGTACATGAAATAAAGTTTTAGATACTGATTGTATGACTGTGTTACATGTGTTGTTAGATTCCTTACCTAGCTCCAGACAGATAACTCCGGCCAGCTAGGCTACCCTGAGTTCCAGTACCTATGGAACCTTCTCAGGAGTTGGAAGGTAAAAAACATCTTACACATATACAGTGACAATAATCTGTTTCTGTGTAAAACTATATTTCATAGTATTCTCTGTCAAAACTGCAGCCTATAGCTAGATATGATGATATTTAATTTACCTAGTCCACTTTCATAGTATGTAGGCTCAACATCAAAACAGTGTTTACCTACAAATTGTAAAAAGATCCCTTTGTGTGGTCATTAAACAATATGTAAACAATTAATTAACAAAAAAATGAACATGCTCTCAGCGAAATTATGGGGCAGAGTAAACCATAGTTATCTTATTATTTCCAGAAACTTTTTTACCAATTTGATGCAGACCAATCTGGAAAGCTGAGCTCATTTGAGTTGAGGCGAGCAGTTGGGGCAGCAGGTGAGTAAAGTAGATTATCTCCCTTGTCACAGCTTTCATTTTCATATCATCTCTACAGTGTCCTACAATCTTCAATGTTCATGTGTGTGTATTTCTTGAAATCGAGAAAGATTCTTTCAAAATTGTAAAAATGATAACTTAACAAATATGTAATAACCTGATAACTGATGAAAATATAGGATTTTAATTTTGTGCATGCTTTTTTCCTTAGGTTACAAATTGAATAATTCCACAATGAAGTCCCTTGTATACCGGTATGCTGATGAAAGATCTCTTATTAGTTTGGACAACTACATGATCTGCTTAGCTAAACTCATGAAACTGTTCAGTAAGTATACATACTTTGGTCATATGTACTCGTTCAGTAAGTATACATACTTTGGTCATATGTACTCGTTCAGTAAGTATACATACTTTGGTCATATGTACTCGTTCAGTAAGTATACGTACTTTGGTCATATGTACTCGTTCAGTAAGTATACATACTTTGGTCAAATGTACTCATTCAGTAAGTACTTTTGTCACTTAAGTTTGAACCTGTTCAGTATTAAGTACCAGTAAGTTACAAGTCATTATTAGTAGTAGGTTATTATCAGGACTCTGAAAGTTTTTGTTTTCATACAATGTGTAAGTTACTAATCATTTTTGCTGTGAAAGTAGACCCAAAAGTTTTGTCCTCCAAGCATTGATGTACCCATGTTGGAACACCATGTCTGACCTTCGGAGATATTCTATACTGTGTCCATAAAAAAGTGATCGCCATACTCCCACCAATCAAAGCATTGTGTCCTGTTTTACCTGGATCATGGATCATCTGTCACTCCCAAGCATATAATTTCTGTCACAACTATGGCAAAACAGATGGAGAGAATATGACGCCATCACAGAGAGATCACCATTCATTGTTTTGAAGCATAGTATTGATAGGATGTGAGATAAAGAATCCCCCCTTATACTGAGTAAATGCCAGAGAAATCTCATCTCTCAGGGTGAGATTCTTGAAAGTTTAACCCTCAGCTTCCAGCAAGCATCAGGGGAGACATTTAAAGAATATCACCCCTTGGGTTGAGATTTCTTTGTCATACACTCACAGTAGTGGACCGCATCAATAATAGAAGTGATAACCAGGTCCATATAAGAGTAAAAACACAATTTGTTTAATTATACACAGTACCAAGGTAAATACACAGTACCAAGGTAAATACACAGTACCAAGGTAAATACACAGTACCAAGGTAAAATCAAATAAGTTTTGATAAAAATGATTTGTCCCTGAATATCTGTGGAATTTGTTGAATTTTATAATCGGTTTTTACAAGTAACAGTGGTTTTTATTGTCAGAGAAAAATTGACAAAACATGCATTTTACTTTCTATTTATTGTTTTACTTAATATTTACTTTGCAGATGACTTCAAGAAAAATAGCTCAAACAATCAAATGTCACTATCTATAAACCAGGTGAGTTGTAGAGCTTAGTCGGTGTTAGTGTCATTTAGTACATAATATCTCTACTGCCTAGATTTGTTAGCTTTATTTTGTCACAAACAAGTTACATATCTCTACTGCCTAAATTTGTAATTACATACTACTGCCTAGATTTGTTAGCTTTATTTTGTCACAAACAAGTTACATAATATCTCTACTGTCTAGATTTGTTTGCTTTATTTTGTCACAAACAAGTTACATACTACTGCCTAGATTTGTTAGCTTTATTTTGTCACAAACAAGTTACATAATATCTCTACTGCCTAGATTTGTAGCTTTATTTTGTCACAAGCCAGTTACATGGGTTTTCTCAGGTACTCTGGTTTCTACATAAACATTACAGTATACAGGGGTAAGGATTGATTGTAATAGCATGTGCTTGTGTTGTGGTTAGTTGGGGAAGATATCAGTTGTATCAAGCTTGTAAGGTCATTGAAGGTCAAACTTACTGGTAAGTATATGAGTCACTGAGGGTTACCACAGTAAACTATATATTACAACACTAGACACCTTGTGCATTACACAAGCAAGGCATTGTGTTTGCATTTTTTCATGTTGCAACTCATATCTTATTACATTTGAAATATCTTCACAAGGAATTTATGAAGTTTGCAGTCACAAACACTATCTATATTACAAAAATTTGAGTTTGTGTACATTTTTCAATAACTGGATAAAAACTGAAAAATAATGTTTTCAAAAAATATATGAAATTGCATAGCAAAAATAACCCTCATCAATAAATTAGCATGTATGTAAGAAAGTATAGGCATAAATGTATAACAAGTTTAAGGGTAAATGAGAAAAAACTTTGTCTAAAACTTGTTATGCATTTATTACTTCTTTCTTAAATACAAATTCATTTCATTTCTACAAGTGATAATTTTAATTGTACATTATCACTTAAATTAAAACAATACTTTCTTGAAAAAAAAGCCAACATTTTTTCAATAGAGAAAATTGACAACTTTAGGCAATAAAAAAATGCATACATTTGCAATCTGTGACATTCCTTTCTGGGTTTTTCTGAGGGGAATCATGGGGTATTTATTCCTGAGGAGCTTTCTGATGATGACATTTATTGCCATATATGTAAGGTAATGATATATTACAACTATACTTATTTATCATTATTATATGATAATTCATACAGTGCCCTATATATATTTTGACAGAATAATCCACTCTAAGGCACTTTTAAATCCCATATTGCAATGCATGTAATCGATTAATACAATCAATACAAAATGAGGACTTTGCAGGAGTAGCCTTATCAGGGGCTAACTCACATTTAATTATGTTCCATCTGGCTAATGTAGCTGAGTAGACAACATGTGTTTGTAAAAGGAATTTAAGGATCTGGTGAAGTTGATAATTTAGTGAATATTTTATAATAAAATTATATTGAGAGTAAGGATTTTGCATCCCTTTTTTTTTTTTGTAAAGAAATGTTTTTGTTGTATTTCAACACGAGAAATACAAAATGATTATCAAAATACCTCAAAAGTTAAGCGCTGTTCAGGAATTCAGTAATCCGTTTCCGTTTCCTATTTTATTATCACCTCACAATGTCCGGTAACAGTATTAGATTTTCCGACCTGAATTTGTCATTAATTGCATGCGTATCATAAATCAATAAGTATTCAATCAACTCCTGAAACTCCACGCAAGTCATGATTTAAATGGCTTGGATGTGAGTGATCACATGCCTCGGAGAAAAACAACACATTTTTCGCCGCAAATGACAGGTCCAGTACACTCTGCCAATTGAGCTATATAGCTGTAAAGACCTATAATAGCATATTGACCTATCTGAAATAGGTCTTTTGAGCTATTTTCATGTGATTTTTTTTTTCAGGAAAACAAAACAAAGTCGCTGTTAAAAGACGATTTTATCATTAGGTTGATTATATAAGACATCAAATATAAGTATTCTTTTAAAAAAAAAAAATGATGTAAAATAATCGGAAATTTTACATTTATGAAAAATGAAAATAAACATCTAACTGTATATTTTTTATAGAAAATATGACCATAAACATAATTGTTTAATGCGACTTTGCTTTAATTTAATGAAAATTGACATTTGATAAAATATAGCTCAATACAGCTAGGCCTATAATTTGTAGGTGAATATAGCTATAAAGGTCTTTATAGCTATATAGCTCAATCGGCAGAGTGTACTGGACGTGAATGAGAGAAACAACAAAAGTTAACCATAGTTACAGTAGGCCAAGTAACAACAGTCAAAATTAGTTATTAATCATTTACAATTGGTTGTCAAGTCAATGTTTAGTTGTGGAAGTATTGTGCTTTAAGAGCATGCATACATGCTCCTCTCTTGCAAACGTCGCCATTCATACAAGGCGTGAAAATATTACAACAAAAACCATGGCATACTGTAATTCCTGTAGGAACTCGATCTAAATCAGAGATTTATCGTTATAAATCTCTGATTTAGATAGAGTTCCTACAGGAATTAGTCTAGGACAGGACTGAACATAAACATGCTCATGTTAGCTGGCTGGTCACAGTGCTATAAACATGCTCTAGTTCTGATGTTAGCTGGCTGGTCACAGTGCTATAAACATGCTCTGGTTCTGATGTTAGCTGGCTGGTCACAGTGCTATAAACATGCTCTAGTTCTGATGTTAGCTGGCTGGTCACAGTGCTCCAAACGACTTTCATTATAGATTTAGGATATAACGTTTACCCCTTCAGATGATGATAACAGTGGTCAAGCCCTTAACATCCTCAGATATACAGGTCAAGTCTGTGACCTCTTCAAACCTAGTTGCTGACCTTTGACACCTTCAAACACATAATTGATCGGGTTCCATTTACTGATTCATGAGCTGAACACATTTCCTAAAGACATTGCGTCTGTGCATCAGAAATAGTTATATCAGTGACAGTATACTAGAAGTCATAGGTATATAAAGGAAAAATAGTCTTGAATGCAGCAGACTCCAGTTGTTCAAAATTTTGCTATTCATTCTGACAGCAATATATGTATTACCTTTTTGCTTTTTTATTTTCTCTTGATTTGTATACATTGTGATGCTTGTTTCATTTTAGTGGTTGGAGCGGTCCCTGTCGGTGTGATGCTTGTTTCATTTTAGTGGTTGGAGCGGTCCCTGTCGGTGTGATGCTGTGATGAGATTATTACTGTTGTCTCCATAACTGTGGTAACGCTGAAATTATCTGTGATATTTCATGTGAATGATACATGTGTATGCTGCTGAAGCTTATGAAATTGTATAGCAATGATAAGCTGAGACTAGTGCCTGGGAGACGAGGAATGTGACCAGAAAACTGAGTTTGAAGCTGAAACTAATGCCTGAATGATAAGGAATGTGACCAGAGAACTGAGTTTGAAGCTGAAACTAATGCCTGAATGATGAGGAATGTGACCAGAGAACTGAGCTTGAAGCCGAGACTTGTGTCTGAAGGACAAGGACTGTGACCAGAGAACTGAGCCTGAAGCCGAGACTTGTGTCTGAAGGACAAGGAAAGTCACTGTGGTACTGATAATGATAAGCTCTGCAGAATGAATGAGGAATGTCACTGATCAACAAAACCAAGACAAGGTTTTCTTGAGGAATACCAAATGTAGGAAACTAGAACAAGAATTACTTGAGACTAAGGGAACAAAAATTGTGTACATTCAGACATAAATGATCAATGAACAGTTATCATATTTTGAGAGTAATAACTTATTACCTAGCAGGTATTGTCATTACATCATAACAACTACTAAAGGACAAGTGCAATGCTTTGCTCTCTGAGGTCTTGTCTCTTTTAAGTCTGGGTAAACTATGGAGTTGATATTTTTGTTGAAGTAGAATGGAAAGATACTCTCGATTTTTGATAGTATTTGTAGAAATATTTTGTGTGACTGTGGTGATTTGTATTACCTTACAAAGGAAGCCCTCCAAGGTTCATATCCTTAGTTTAATAACCAATTAATCATTAAAATCAACCATTATTTTTCTGAATATTTATCCAGGCTAATACAGTAGCTGTATGACTAAATGATGTTATAGGGTTAATTGTATTACTTAAATGACACAATTCCTTCAGTAAAAGTACTACAGTTAACCCCTTATTTTACTGACGGTAACATTAAGCTCTGTTACATATATATTGTGTAATAGAACCTGACCATGTTTGGTAATCAATGTCATTTAATTTGACATTGATACTGCAGATAAAATTGGAAAGTACATACCAGTGTCAAGGATATCTCATCAGGGAGGGTTTTATCCCATTTACCAAGTACCGGTGTCTATAATATTCCATCAGGGGATTTTTTTCTCTCACAATAACACAAATTTCAATACATTATTAATGTTTTGATGCATAATGGATTTAAATGAATGTTGATATAAAAGAATATCATAGTATTTATGAAAGGCAATATATATAGAGGTTCATCTGTGACCCTTCAATTTATGTCTTGTCAAAGATTGATGTACATCATTTCAGAAGGTAAGCTAATGGACACTAACCAGAACACCCTCATTCAGTCCAGATTGCTGTTTTAATGATGTTTATTTTATGATGGTTATCATTCCAGTGATTTTAAAAATCAGCTCCACATTTAAAATCTTTGTATATTAAGAAGATTAAGGATCTAATTTGCCAATGTAATACTTGTGTTTTAATGTTGACTCTACCTAGACATGTTTCGTTTGTTTATCTGTGCCTGTCTGTCAAAGCTCCATGGTGTCCTGGCAGTCGCCGGATACCAATTAAAGTTAGAGGTGCACTGTTTAAATAGAAACTCTTCATTCAGAATACTGATGAATTGTTTGCTGGACATTTTTTTGTTATGTTATAAGTATTTTTATGCTGTTAATCATTGTTTTTTAAATATTTGTTTTCAATCATTTGTTTAATTGGTTTTGATGAAATGTTTCGTAATAGACTTTTACTCCTTCATCATCATTGAGGTCATCTGTCATCTTTTAGTATTAGACGGAGAAAACAACCAGACAGACATCATGTACACGTCTGGACTGCAGTTGTTACTTGTACAGGTTTTATTATAGGCTAGCAGGTAGTCTAAAACAGGTTTTACCAAGGGCAATTTCAGAACATCGACATCGACGTAAATGTCTCCGCGTTACGATATTTTCGATAAGGATGTTTTAATTTTAAACCAGTAGTACCATCTAGTCATTAATGAGGACAGTTAATACATCAAGTAGTCTTATTTTAGCAGTCACCTGTTTTTTAAAAGATTTTGTACAAATGTGTGTACATTAACCACTTTGTTTCTGATTATCCACTTACTTACATTTAAGATAAAGGGTACCAACAAGTGAAACTATAAACTTACCACTGACAATGTTATGAAATATTTATTTAAGACCCTTTAAAAAGAAGTATTTCATTAAAATCACATGTTGCCATGCATTTGACAGACTTGTATTTGTTCAAATCATGAACGTTTGAATTCAGAAATTAAAAAAAAAAAAACAGAAAACTTCAGGGGTCGAACTCTGTATCTTTACATTACATTACTCTTTACCTATGTTGCTATGAACAATGAGGAAATTATGCAAGCCCAGAATCAAAACTAGTGGCCAATTTATAGACCACAAAGCATTTGAACAACTTGACAGGGGGAAGTGACTCTAAGCCAGAATAACTCCTTTTGTTTCCTTCATTATCTATACATAAAAAGGGAGAATACTCAAAAGGAAACTTGAGTGGAACTCTTCTTTATGATTGTAACTGATGCAGTGGTATCCTTAACCTTAATCACGATATTGAACCAATTCAGTATCTTATATAATCAAAATGATTTTCTATAATCAAAACCAAAGAATTGATTCATTTTTTCATTTTGTACCAGATATTACTGTGTCATAATACAAGCTCTGATAGCTGTAGTTTTATGCCGCCTTTACCAACTCCGGCCCGTGGCAGATTTAATCTGATGACATGTTACTGTCAGGGATGACTTGGTTTTATGAGAACATGTTGTTTTTGTTTTATGTTCAAATCAAAATGTATTTTGCTCTGTTTAATGAAATGCTTTGCAAATTTCTTATTTTAACTATTTGAATTTAAAGTACTTACATTTTATTGAAAAGATCTCTTTCCAGGCATTAACTTTAATCATTTCACCATTTTTTTTTTAAATCAAAAATATTTTTTTAAATTGTTTGCAAACTTTCAAAGCCACTGATGAAATGACATTAACCATGCATTTAAATTATCAAATCATTAGAGACTAGGATTATATTATTATTTCATCTTTTATTCTTATTGTAGAATTCTTTTCTTGGGACAGTTTTTGACAATAATGGTGAATAAATTATGAGATTTATAATGTGCTGTATTTATTTCAGATTTACTTCTTGTATGTTAGGTTGAAAGATCTTCACATTCTTTTACTTGTCCTGCTGAATTTAGAATCATCTGTCATATACTTCCCTGGAAAGCAAGATTGTTTCACTATATTTACAGATATTACATTTAGGCGTGTAACATGTACTCCATTCCAATGGCATTGCCAGGGTTCCAGTTATTATGTAATGTCCTCTATTTATTTTGTATTGGTGTAGGCAGCATTATGTCCCGTATGACCTAAATAGTGTTCTAACTTATAAAATTCCAAATTAATGTTAATCCATACTTTGTCTTGTCTCCATTGTAACACATGACAGATATATGTTGGTGTTTTCCGGAATAATGCATCAGCATATACAGGCAGTCCACTGATTGTAGTTCTTGTGTACTTATGACAAAGAATTAATTGAATAGAATGTCGGTGTGTGTGTGTCTTGTTGTGTGTTGAGGGGGAGGTCAAGGACATCATACATAAAATTGGCCATATTTAATGGAAGCAAGAATGTTCTGAAAAATATAATAAATAATGAGAAGTTGCTAACAATGATTTGTGTGTTGTTCGGTTTGTTGATGTAAATATATGACGGGTTTGAACTTTAGAATAGCACTATTGTTACCAGCTTATAGTCACAGGAAGTCAAGATAATGACATCAAGTCATCTTTGTTCCTGGTTCTCCAAAAAAAGATGTTCTGCTATTTTTTCAATATTATCAAATGATTATTCAATCCCAGTCGTTTCAGAAAGTTCTTGAATATCTCTGAATCTATGAGATCAGGTATGCTGAGCTATATGTACCAGGTACATGTACTAATGCAAGCTAAACAATCTATATAATCTGACACATTACCTTCCTGAAGGAAAGATAAAGCTTATCAATTCTCATATTTATATTATAGTAAAAGTTATTTCAAGCATCTAACCAGAGACCAATTTATCTCTGATCCTAAGTAACAAATTTACAACACTCAACACACTACAAGGACAGTCCTGGTAATGATGAGGGAATTTACGTTTCAGTCACTCAACACACTACAAGGACAGTCCTGGTAATGAGGAGATAATCTGACGTTTCAGTCACTCAACACACTACAAGGACAGTCCTGGTAATGATGAGGGAATCTCACGTTTCAGTCACTCAACACACTACAAGGACAGTCCTGGTAATGAGGAGATAATCTCACGTTTCAGTC